ATAGAAGACATGTCTCACCTGCAATCTGTCCCTTGGAGCTACACAATGTGATGTTGACATACCTTGAGATGCTTAGTAAACATGCTTATTGCAGTAAACAAGGAAACTGAAGCTGGTCAAGCTTGGTATTACCTGGGAGTAATCACCAAGGATGGCTTTGTAGAGTCTCTGCACAGTGTAGGCATGCATCTCCACACTATTAGTTATTAGCTGAATCAGATTGGGAACAGCATCATCACGAACATAACTTCCTGCCTGCAAGAACAGCTACTGTTAGGTTTCAATATCCAACTTCTCAGTAACACCCAGCATCTCCTGATAACCTTCACAAAGTCACCTGATGTGCATGGAAATAAAAATCAACCTCCTCATCCTCAAGCACTTTATGGTTGATTTTGAGCAGTCTCAGATGGACAGAAGCACAGGACAGTACATTTTCCCAATGAACTCAATTATACCCAGAGATATCCATACTACAGATACCCTGAAATTGTCAGGAGGACAGAGTATGGACATAAGGATCCTGTGCTACAGAAGGAACAAAAAGCAACACAGAAAATTCCTCTGTTAAATAGAAGGCTTTAAGTGAAAGATGCCCTGGGGGCAGAACGCAGCTTATTAACCACTTGGCTCAAAGACAGACTCTATGCCAAATAAGCACAGGATCCAGAATTTTGCCTGCATCTCACTCTTTGGTTAGAGGACAGGAATAATTCCAAGATATTGCTTAACCCCTTTCACTTTGCAAGTTACTTAAGGCTGTATTCAGTCTCCCCTGAAAACACAAAAGCTATCCAAACTTAGAAGCTAATATGATTACTGCATCAGAAAAACTGCTACACACTGTATTCTTGTTTGTTTCTGAAATCATATATTTCTTTAAAAAAAAAAACACTCAGTCATTTATTGAGTGTACATATTTCTGATTGTCTGCCTGGAGTCACTACCATCTAGGTATACTTCCCCTCTGTGTGGTAGCATTTGTTATCTGCCAGCCTTTATAGCCATGTCCAACTTGATGGTGAGTAACTTCCTACAGAAATAAGATTTTGTATATAGTCACAGACAAGAGAGGTAACACTTACCATTGTTAAGACTCTCATAATTGTGTCTATGTGCCAGCGTTTGGAAGGAGCATATCTGACAAGATTAAGAAAACAAGTTAGAGAAATAACTACTAGCCTTCAACACCAGCAAGAAACCCATCATCATCAGAACCTCCCAATTCAGTTATTCCTGGCCCACTGTTTCCTGGGGGGGACGGGACGATGGGACACACCCAAAACAGATACACACCCCCCCACACCCCCAACAAAACACATTTCACATTCTTAGACTTTTTTTTGTATTAATGCTGACATTGGAAAGATGAATAAATACACAAGGCTGTACAATATAGCACAGCCATACCTTGCACATAGAATCATAGAATAGTTAGGGTTGGAAAGGACCTTAAGATCATCTAGTTCTAACCCCGCTGCCATGGGCAGGGCCACCTCACACTAAACCATGTCACCCAAGGCTCTGTCCAACCTGGCCTTGAACACTGCCAGGGATGGAGCATTCACAACTTCTCTGGGCAACCCATTCCGGTGCCTCACCACCCTTACAGTCAAGAACTTCTTCCTTATATCCAATCTAAACTTCCCCTGTTTAAGTTTGAACCCATTACCCCTTGTCCTATCACTACAGTCCCTAATGAAGAGTCCCTCCCCAGCATCCTTATAGGCCCACCTTCTGTAGGAGAAGAGGAGCTTGAACTTGGTCAGAGTATGCTGAGTGACCTTAATTCTTTGGGGAATTATCTTTGAGTCAGACTCTGTAATTTTAGCTCTGTGGGGAACTAACCTCAAGCAAGAAAAGTAGAGCAAAAGAAACAGAACAAAAGGGGATGAAAACGAGAAGTAGAAGAAGGAACTGAGAAATGAGGAGAAGGTCGAAAGGATGGTGTTGAAAAAGCAGACTAATCAATTATAATTTTAGATTATGCGCATGGACAGCAGCAACTAACCAACTGTATTGTAGCTTTAAGCATGTGGATATGATCAAAAACATATATAAACCATGTAATCTAAAGTAAAAAGCTCTTTGACCAGCAATCGGAGTCCATGCCTTAAATCCCTTCATCCTTCAGATACTGGAAGGCTGCTATGAGGTCTCCACACAGTCTTCTCCAGGATGAACAGCCCCAACTTTCTCAGCCTGTCTTCATATGGGAGGTGCTCAAGCCCCTTTATCATCCTTGTGGACCTACTCTGGACTTGCTCCAACAGCTCCATGTCCTTCTTATGTTGAGGACACCAGAACTGCACACAGTACTCTAAGTGGGGTTGCACAAGAGCAGAGTAGAGTACACATACAGTACTTCAAAGTCAGGCTGCTGTGGTTCAGCAGTAATGAGATCATCTTGGTTGTACAGCTAACCAGAGAAGTTGTGTGTGCGGAGAGGGGCAGGGAGGCAGGGCCAGGATGTCAGTGCAACATGTGTTCCAAAGTGCAGTACACAGTAGGCAGCAATCAGTACACTAGACTGATTTAGGAATAAGAGGACTATCCATATGGGACACACTAGTGTGACCTGTTCCTCAGAGTCAGTTAAAACTGACACACCACACAGATCAGCAAACAAGAAGACATGATCAACATCTTCTCTCCTGGGGGATGAGGAAGGGAAGCAGCAACACAAAATGCTCATAATTCTGAGAATATACAAAAAATTAATAGCAAATAAATTGGCCCCATACTTTTCAGATGCAAGAAATATTCCAGATGCACAGTCTGCTTTGAACTCTGGTTCACAGGAATCTAGGAAATACAGTAACTCCTTCATCATTCCACGGACATTATTCCCATTAACAAGAGCAAAACTCAGTTCCATTGCACGCCTAGGGCAAGAGACAAAAAACAGATCAAGTATCTTCCCCTAGTGAAGTAAAAAAAACAACCAACCCCCCCTCCCCCCAACCAAAAACAACAAACCACAAGTCCAGCTACTTCAATGAACTTACATTTTCATTAGGAGAACAGTATTTATTATTCCTGTGAGAACAGCATTCCACATGAAATGTACCAATGGTTTCCTGTTCATGGGCAGACAACAAATACCTAACCCCCAAAATACTAAGGGGGTGTGGGGTTATTTAGAAATACCTATCCAGATGTCCTAAGGGCTAGAAATATCTTCCACCCAGAGTCTATCAGTATTAAGGTCTGACTTCCCAAGTATTAGTACAAATTACTCGCATGGTAGTCATTTCTGACACACAACTGCAGGAAGTAATCCATCCTACAACGCACTTTATCCAGCTTTAGGGATCCAGAAGAGACCTGTTTCAATCTCCATATAGTAGAGATTTGAATTCAGTAGAGACTTAAAATATTAACAGATAGGCTTTGTTGTATTCTGTCAGATAGACTACGTTAGACTTCTACAACCCCCAAATTACCCTGATGCTCTTAGAACCCACCTCCAAGTTGACACCACAACTAGACAGAGTACTGGCTCTTTGCTATTTCTTGTTATATTCATGGAGAAGTCAGAGTCTAGTCCTTAGCCCTTCTACTTAAAGCTTCTGCAGCCAATTCTAGCACAGTTCTCCCATTCTTCTGACTTTTTTGAATTCTTTGAAATATCTTCAAATGTGATTTGACTGTTGTACAATGCTGGCAATTAGTTATGTCAGAATGCATTAAAACAGCCTCACTAAAAAACCCTGACTGTTCTTTAAAATTGAGCATTTGGTGTAATCCAGAACCCAACCCTCCAAGTTGTGCCCTCTTCATACTATCAGGAACTTTATTCTCTGCCTGTCATTGAGATACCCTACCAGAAGGCTATAAAGACCCTCACAGCACATCAAAAAATTCCTCCCCCATTTCAGTTATCTTTTGAAATCATCTGGATAGTTGCTGAACTAATTTGTACAGTGATTTCATACTGCTTGTTTTCAACAAGTTACAGCCAAAATTATGCCAAAAGGCCTAAAGTCTGTTTTGTAATACATACTTTCTCAAGGTAGCTCAGACTTCAGTGTGTGCTTGACTCCAGCAGTTCTCATTAAAATCATAATGTTGAGATGTGCAAGTTTTGATGTCATCCTTTCACATATTTACTGGAAGGAACCCCATGATCCCAATGGTTCCCAATGGATCCCAATTGGGTTTCCCAATGTTTGTGAAACATCAACAACTCAGACCAGGCACATTACCCAATCCAATGGTATTGGGCTCAAGCTATTTGTTATCAAGAATCTGAAAGCAGCACTGCTTCTCAACATCTCCCTAGTTATTACTGTAATCATAGAATGATCAGGGTTGGAAAGGACCTTAAAGCTCATCTAGTTCCATTCCCCCCTCCCACAGGCAGGGACACCTTCCACTAGAAGAGGTTGCTCCAAGTCAATGTGTTATTTTGCTTTTTACCCAACTAATACCCAGGGACCTAGAAAACATGGAGGTGTTCAGAATTAAGGTGGAAATACATAACTAATTACCTTTTACCATCTAGATCTGTGCCTGGTTGAAGACCTATACCATTACTGGAATTGCTTTCATCCCTCCAATTAGTTCCCAACTCTTTACACCTAACCCTAACAGGCTACACGTTTTCCATGTTTAAGTTTAACTTTTCAATTGCATTAGAACAGATATCTCAATACTGCAGATGCACAGAGCTACTCTGCAATCTTAATACCAGACATTTATCTCAATACATATAGCTTACCTTCAGTCATATTACATGGCTCATTCCTGTCACGAAGTTCCTAATAATGTAGTTTGATCATATTAAACAGACAGACAAGAAGACTTGAACTAAATAGCAAAGACATTCTGGTTTATACCACATGGACCAAAGATGCACTGCAACAGTTAAATGATGGGAACAGACCATGCTTCAGGTAACCCAAACCAGGTACTGTCTCTTCCCCTCAAGTCCAAGTGCTTGAAACCTGGTAGCTGGGGACCCTGACATCCAGTCGATATACTGCTTCAATTAAGATAGTGCATTGTCAGCAGCATGAGCATCAGCATAGTAACATCATGCTCTGCCGATGGATGAAAGGCTTCATCCTCCAACAGCACTCAGACATGGAGCTCTGTCTTTCGTAGCTTACCTATGCTTTCCTAAGCAGGCACCAACAAAATGCTTTCGTTGCCTTCTACCCAAAACCTAGATGGAGTTCTGCTATTTCACAGCCTTGACTCAGTGCTGGCTCAGGCACTGAACAGCAACAGCAGCCTGACTTGCTCAGCATGTAAGATACAAGTTTATGTTTATGTTTTGATTGCAACTATAAAAACAGATTACACGATACCCACTACACAGCAGTTAAAACCAAGTTTCAGAAGTGAGAGAGATCCAATTTCTTTCCTATTCTGTACATATTAGACTGAGCAGTGCTGTTATAAATCTAGATGTGAATCAAAGATGGGCATATATTTGAAAAATGCCTATCAGAACAAGTATGTGGCATATCTAATCAGTTTCACAAGGGGGGGGGGGAAATAGGTTGATCAGTTTTGAAAGTATGTTAATAATATTTGGCCTGCAGCAAACAAATTCCACAAGATGCAACAGGGATGTAACTGTCCCCATGACTGCCATGTCATATGCTGCACTGAGCTCAGACCATCAGTTATGAAAACAGTAACTATGAGGAAGAGAGTTTTGGCAGAAAGAGCAAGCAATTAACAGGCTGAACTCAATTTAGAAGAGCAGCATTCCATATAGGTTGGGCAAAAGTGAGATCAAGAATTCAAGAGTATCTATGAATGCCTGACTAATGAGAAGAAACAGAAGTAGTTTAAATTGTCTTCCTCTAGTGAGAAGTAAGGTTGCAAGCTCTCCCACTGCCCAGAGCAACAGCAACATACTGCTATTTAATTGACAAATCATAGAATTAGAATAGTTAGGGTTGGAAAGGACCACCTAGTTCCAACCCTCCTGCCATGGGCAGGGACACCTCACACACTAAGCCATGTCACCCAAGGCTCGGTCCAACCCGGTCTTGAACACCGCAAGGGATGGAGCATTTACCACTTCTTTGGGCAACATGCTCCAATGCCCACCACCTTTATAGTAAAGAACTTCTTCCTTATATCTAACCTGAACTTCCCCTGTTTAAGTTTGAACCCATTACCCCTTGTCATACCAGCACAGTACCTGATGAAGATTCCCTCCCCAGCATTCTTATAAGCCCCCTTCAGATACTGGAAGGCTGCTATGAGGTCTCTATGCAGCCTTCTCTTCTCAAGGCTGAACAGCCCCAACTTTCTCAGCCTGTCTTCATACAGGATCCCCCAATCATCATTGTGGCCCTCTTCTGGACTTGGTCCAACAGTTCCATGTCCTTGTTATGTTGAGGACACTGGAACTGTATACAATACTCCGAGTGAGGTCTCACGAGAGCAGAGAGGCAGGATCATCTCCTTTGACCTCTTGGTCATGCTCTTTTTGATGCTGCCCAGGATACGGTTGGCTTTCTGGGCTGCGAGCACACACTGCCGGCTCATGTTAAGTTTCTCATCGACCAACACCCCCAAGTCCTTCTCCACAGGGCTGCTCTGAATCTCTTCTTTGCCCAACCTGCAGATGTGCCTGGGACTGCTCTGACCAACACCAAAGAATGAACACCAAGAATGCATAACAGGACACAGATGTAAGCAAATTATTTGAACAATCAAGTCAAGTCTGAATTTTACCACTGCCTAATCAAATTTCATCTAGAATACATTATTTGGACAGCTTAGTGCTGCTTCAAGATAACATGGCACTGTCTGTTCATCTCAGAAGAGCAGCAATATGGAGCACGTCAGAGTATGATTAAGATCATACTTCATGAAGACTTTCCATCTTGTGAGCACACAACCTGATCTCCATTGAGACTCCATTTGGAAAAATTCAGGCAAACTTAATTTTTTTTCTCCAGTCCTAGATGCTCAAAATGTGCAGGCACCTTCTTTGGGAGGCTGCTTTTACATCTTCATTACTTTCTTTGAACTATGAACCATACAGTGCATTAATACTAGTCTCAGAGTTCCCCAAGCTTATTGCCATTTTCCCTCCCCTTTGTCCTGCTCACTTTCCATATGCTGTCAACCTTGAGAGTCTATGTCATGGATATTTCAATTACCTTTTAATGGAGACATCCAGATCCTTTAGGCAGTCAACAATAGTGCTTCTATGCCGCTGTACTGCATTATGGTCTGTCTGCACAGTTTTCAACAATGATGTCAAAGCTACATATCTGAGATAACGATATACAGGAATGAATCCTTGACAGGAGGCATTTAATTCCTATGCACAGAACTCACAGCCCCAGAACTTAATCTTATTTTGAAACAGAACAGGGTTCTCGTACTCAGTAATGGATGGGAATCTTCCAGGGGACTGCCTGGCCTATCTTCAAAGGTGAGTTACCACACTGAACTCTAACCAGCCCAACAACATCCTGCTGCCCAGACAAGCACCCATCCCAACTCCTGGGCTCACGTCAGTTGTCCAGTCTTCACTAAGATTTTGAAAAAACAAGGCAATTAAAGATTAGATCTCTGAAGATTAAGCAACTCATGCTAGTTTGAGTGTAATTCCCAAGGCTGGAGTCTTCTACCTATACCAGGATTTGCAATCAGAATACTAAGAGATGGGATGCCACACACCCAGACTCATCAACTTAGAATGGCAGGTCCACAGTGAAGATTTGCAGAGAAAACCATGCACCAAGAGAGAAGAAAGCTAGACAGTCACACTATCCCCAACAACAGTACTTGCCAAAGAGATCTCCTGAAAAGCTCTACTGCAGCATAATCTTTATGTAATGGCTTCTCATACATTTGAAAGTAGGTGTTGGTAAAACATACTTCATACAACTTACCTAATATTTTTGTCATTGTTTAATAAGAAACGGCCCAGGATGTTAATGGCCAAAACCTACAGAAAGAGTTAAGGAAGGTCAGTGATCAATAAAGGCTCCTAGTCATCTCCATGATTTCAAGATTATCTTAAAAATAATGTGTCCAATTTACCACTACAGTTCTTAGCCAAAAGCATAACAAAGAACTTAAGAGGCTACCTAAACAGAGAAAAAGCTAAGACAAACACAGCACAGGCTCTCTGCTGCTCTCAAAAGAACATAGTCTGCAGGAAGTTTTGCTTTTGTATTTTTTAATTAACAACAAAAAGAAAAAAAGACAAAAACCTACCAAAAACCAATTATCACTTTCTGAACAGGCTACAGTCTTATCTAGAAGCAACTACAGAGCTATGTGTCCCAAGTTGAGCTGTAGCAATGATTTTTCTCTTTCTTAGTAGCTAGCGCAGTGCTGTGTTTTCAACTTCAGTCTGAGAACAATGCTGATAACACACCAATGTTTTTATTTGTTGCTAAGTAATGTTTACTCCAATCGAGGACATTTTCAGTCTCATGCTCTGCCAGCGAGGAGAGGCACAGAAAGGTGGGAGAAAGGAGAGACAGGACACCTGACCCAAATCAGCCAAAGGGGTATTCCATACCACATCATGTCATGCTCAGCATAGAAACTCCATTATATAAAGCGGAGGGAGTTACCTGGAAGGCCTAGATCGCTGCTCAGGTCAGGCTGGGTCAGCAGGAGGTAAGCAATTGTATTGTGCATCACTTGTGTTAATTGTTTTCTTTTCCTTTTCCCCTTTTAGTTTCATTTTCTTTCCCCTTGTTATTTCCCTTATCATTATTATTATTATTGGTGGTAGTAGTAGTTTTGTATTATACCTTAGTTACTGGACAGTTCTTATCTCAACCCGTAGGATTTACATTCTTTTGATTCTCCTCCCCATCCCTCTGGGAGCAGGGGAAGGAAGGGGGGGAGTGAGTGAGTGGTTGCATGGTTCTGAATTACCGGCTGGGCTTAAATCATGACAGTTCTTTTTTTGCACCCAACGTGGGGCACGTGAAGGGTTGAGATTACAACAGATCTGACCAGAGTGTGTCTAACAGTATGTGTGATAAGCATTCACTGTTTAATAGTCACTCATCACAATGCTGATTGAGTTGCTCTTGGAGTTGTTGCACTTGGTCTCAGAGTTTCAGCATGTTGTACATTACTTGAAAGTCAGTATGAACCAGGGAATTACAGATCAGTCAGTCTCACCTCTGTGCCTGGCAAAATATTGGAGCAGATTCTCCTGGAAGGCATGCAAAGGCACATGAAAAACAACAAGGTGCTTGGCGACAGCCAGCATGGCTTCACTAAGGGGAAATACTGCCTGACCAATTTGGTGGCCTTCTATGATGGGGCTACAGAACTGATGGACAGGGGTAGAGCAGTTGACATCATCTGTCTGGACTTGTGCAAAGCATTCGACACTGTCCCAAACGACATCCTTGCCTCTAAATAGGAGAGACATCAATTTGATAGGTGGACCACTCGGTGGATAAAGAACTGGGTGGATGGCCTCATGCAAAGAGTTGTGGTCAATGGCTCAATGTCCAGATGGAGACCAGTAACGAGTGGCGCCCCTCAGGGATCGGTGTTGGGACCAGTCTTGTTCAACATCTTTGTCAGTGACATGGACAGTGGGATTGAGTGCGCCCTCAGGAAGTCTGCCGTTGACACCAAGCTGTGTGGGTTGGTTGATACGCTGGAGGGAATGAGGATGATCAAGGGACTGGAGCACCTCCCATATGAAGACAGGCTGAGAAAATTGGAGCTGTTCAGCCTGGAGAAGAGAAGGCTGCATGGAGACCTCCTAGCAGCCTTCCAGTATCTGAAGGGGGCCTACAAGGATGCTGGGGAGGGACTCTTCATCGGGGGCTGTGCTGATATGACAAGGGGTTATGGGTTCAAACTTAAACAGGGGAAGTTCAGGTTAGATATAAGGACGAAGTTCTTTACTATAAAGGTGGTGGGCATTGGAACAGGTTGCCTGAAGACGTGGTAAATGCTCCATCCCTGGTGGTGTTCAAGGCCAGGTTGGACAGAGCCTTGGTTGGCATGGTTTAGTGTGAGGTGTCCCTGACCATGGCAGGGGCGTTGGAACTAGATGATCTTAAGGTCTTTTCCAACCCTAAGTATTCTATGATTTGCTGTTTTAGTGTTTATCAG